ATGCCATAAATTTTGTTTTTTAAATTTCACTACGTTTATTTTAGCGCAGTTTTGCTCTGACTGTTCCTCAAATCTTATGGGTCATTTGCTACTCAGATAAAACGAAAAAAAGTATATTCATTCTACTTAAGCAGCAAATACGAATTTATGACCTTGACAGCCATACTCCACCTGGTTTCGGCCAGATGTGTAGTCAAATCACAAATAAATACGGTACTATCCACTAGTATTTCCTCCCATCGTTCTGCAAACCAATCACCTTCGTGCAACGTCCAAACGACCTTCAAACCTGCATGGAACTGGTCAATTCATGTCAGGTATGGCGACTATGATCGAATGATATGAATTACTTCGATTTCTCCTTCCTCACTTACGGATCTGCGTTCCAGTAATTTAATTAAGATGTTGTAGGTGCTAACTTCTGTGGGGTGGGGTCTTGGTAGTTGCTCAAATTAAGTAACTCCCGTTCTCTTCACTTCCCCCCTCCTTACCCTACAGCTCAAGGAGGATGTAGGTTTCCGCCTTTTTTACGACTTTCGCTTTTTGTTTGCCATTTGCTTATCCAATTGGCTTTATTGCTACTGCATGCCCACATTTATTCGCCGATGATTATTGGATTGCATGCCATTTTGCGGCAGCAGGGTATACAATCGCAAGCAATCTAAGCCACTCTGGTCTCTATGTTCACTTGATGTTCATCCGTTATCAAGATGGTGGTGGTTGAGGGATACCTTTGAGCACAAAAGAAAGCCCAAACTGTTGAGAACATGATGCAGTTGGTTTGGATATTGAGGTTGCATTGGGTCTGATGACGCAAACCTTGCATTAACCTGGACATTTTCACTCAGCTAGTGAACTACATCGATTTTTTTTAATTTGATGTTATTTAATTAAGTTAGGATCATTTGACTCCAGTTAGGTGTTGAACTGAAGCATAAGCTCGAGCTTATTCTTAGTCCTGTAAATGCTTCCAAAATTTTCTACTAAGAAATTGAAGAATATTCACGGGAATATTGGGATAAAATACTTTGAGTAGGGGAGGTTGCCATTTCACTTCAAGAAAGCTATAATGAACGGTGTCATTGTATCATTTTGCAGAACGGTCTTCTCCAACGGATTCGAATTTGATGTAAAAATCCCTTCACTGCAGTATTACTTCGTGAAATTTGTATTCAGTATATGTTTGGCTAGACTTTGAAACATAAAGAGAATTTCCTACAAAGCTCCAGAGGGCCCAAGAAATAGCAAGTCTTGTCTTAATATCATTGTGTTCTACTACGACTGGTTGAGTAGATGAACGTGATGGGCTTGACAAATAGGTGAGAAGTTGGTCACGTAAAAATAGTAATTCTGAAAGATCGTATCATCAAGTCCGTCATAGAGAGCCTGGTTGCCACCAACGCTATGGTTGCTGCTCGTAGCTAGTTGTTAGTCCCCTGGAGATTTTGCAGTGGTTTTCTAGATTCGCTGTCTGTTAATTCTTAAGGTTGATGTCGCTCCATTGCTCTCACTCTCATCAGGGAATGGTTCTGATTTATATAATCTGATTAGTTAACGTCCTATGTAATTCTAGGAAAAAGGGCCCACCCCAATCTTCAATCATATACTGGCATAATGATTGGTATTGCTATTTTTCAGAAATAGCGATACCAATCAAATAAAATAGTTCAAATTGCGAATTCTGGTAGTTTGGTGAAATATTTGTAAGGCACCCTACATCCGACAGTACGAACAAATTAGGTGCTCTTTACATGAGTCACTATTCGATATTCAAGGAGAGCTGCTTCTTTTTACTATCGATTAAACTAATGTAGGTCTCTCACTAAATACATCTAATTTCACGCACGTTGAACCATCAATGCAAATTTGTCTAACTCTTCTATCTTCTATTATTTTTGAGGTATCCATTAATTGCCTTTATCCAAACTATTTTTCTCACTGTGAGTCTACTTCGGCGGCTCTCTCTCTCTCGTCTTGATCTAAGGACGTGTGTCTCTGCACATTAGCATTTTAAGATATGGAATAGAAAATGAAGCGGTTGCGATTTAAATAAACTAAACATTACTGTGACGCATGAGTTGGAACAAGAATAATACTAGCAATTTGATGCAAAGCAGCTTTCTGTTTCCTTAGTTCCTCCCTAAACTACTTTTCTTACTGGTTCCACATCGACTGCCTCTCTCTCTCTCTCTGTTCTTGATCTAATTACTAATGTCTCTCCCACCTTAACACATTTAAATAAATTGAATAGAAAATGAAGTGATTCCGATTTGAGTAAAAAGAAGTCATTGCTGTGACCCAAGAGTTAGAGCAGGAGATAGTGTTTGGGCTTTGAAGCCACTTTCTGCCCCACATTTTTGGAGACAAGCTAGTAAATACCAGATTTGCTTCGCTTTCATGGCGAAACTTGACCATTCAATAAAGTGGGGGGGTTGTAGGTGCGGGTTTATTCTAGAGATATTTAATTAAGGCCTTGAAATACTCAAGCGGCCTCTACATAGGTCTTTTCTAGCATTAACCCTTTCACATAAAATTGTTAAATAATGAATAACTAAATAACACGCTTGTTTTAATTAAATTCTTTGTGGTTTATTTGGGATATCCTAATTATTTATTGCGAGCACAAAAATTCACACTTTGAAATATTCTATTGACTTCTGTAGACGGGTTACCGTATGCTTAGTGATTTGTGCTGTTTCGAATTTAGTACATTTAAATTTATTTCTGGAGTACTTCTTTTCACTTTTGCGCTAGTCTTATCTCACATGGTAAATGCAAAGGTGGTAAAACTGGTTGGGGATGTGATTATACCTCTATTTCAAGGTTCTACGAACTTCAGTACGAGCTAGATAAGAAGAAAATCGATATTGTGTCTGGATATTTTTTTTGAAGGCATGCGTTATATATATTATTATTATTTCAAATGGCAGGCGTTTCGAATAGTTATCATTAGCCATTTAGCTGGCTTCGGGCTTCACAGAGGGAGGAACATCAAAGTGAGAAAATTCGAGAGGGGGAGCAAAAGAGTGATTCACAGATGTAGAAGAGATAGACAGACACAAAGGTAGGGGCAGAGGTGAGGTGAGTACTGCGGAAGTTGTGGAATATGACATACAGTGGGGTGATGGTAGTTTGATGTCAGAAGTCAACTGTCGGTTTATAGACTTTTTCGCCGTATATATATATATATATATATATATATATGTCATAGTTATCACGTATACGCAGAGCAGTGTAGTGACACTCAACGTGTAGGAATTAAATGGTCAGGTCAGGCTACTAAGCCTAGTTTACTGCGGGCTTATCGCAATTTCACTACAATAGTAGTCTAGCATTAACGCCGCCTATATCCTCGACTCTTCACTTCAAATAATAGATCGAATTCACTCTTTAGGCTTGGGACGAAATTCGCATTGCTTCTTGATTTAAAATCTACTATTTTTTCGACTCAAAAGGCTGCACTGATTCGCGAATAAATCAAATCAGTTTGCTTTAGTTCCAATTGACTTAATATCTTTTATTTCAAATCCACTAAAATTGATTTTCGTCTCTCTTGTTGCAGCTTTTATTGACCTAGATTTGCATGCTCCATTCTTTTTTCTAAGTGTAATTCTTCGTTCAGTCTCTATTCTTCAAATGTCTTTTTTCTAATTTCTCTTTAACAGTTCAATGACGATCCACCCTACTGCAAAGAGGTGCGTTTCGATGGCACACAACTGTCTTCTGATATATGACTTATGCTAACACGAAATGCAATTTTTTTCATTTTACGTCAAGTAAAACTGAATGGCTGCCCTCTCTCTTCTATTTGGAAGGAATGTTTATTTATTTATATCAAGTGCCAGGCCTTTAGTTGACTTCGGCCTTCACATTGGGGGGTTAACATCAAAGCCGCAGAATTTGAGGGGGGTTGGGTACAGAAGAGTGGTTCGCAGATGTAAAAGAGAACAACACAATGGTAGAGAAAAAGGGAAAGTTGAGTATTGTAGAAGTGTTCGAATATGGAATACAGTCGGGCCACGGAAGTTTGAAGTCAGAATTCAACTCCTGGTGTATAGACTATCTTTCCGTATTCGTGTACGTTCCCCAGGTTACACCACATGGAGGCCAGTCTATCGCGCACACCATATGGAAAGTATGTAAACCTAGAAATTTGAGAAGTAGAACAGCTTGAAGGGTTGTAGTCAGCTCCTTCATTTAGGATGTGCGGATTAATTTTTAGGGAACCCAGCAATACTGTTTCAACTGTTATTATCATTTTAAAGTTGTCTACACATATGTTTCTTGTATTTCAAACGCTCTTATTTTTTCCCTCCGTGGGAATCCATGGTAGTCCTACCATGAAGTGATGGCCATTCAAAAACAAAGTGGTGTTTGAAACAATCAAACTTGAATATCATAATTTGCATAGCACACTTTTGGGAATATCAAATATCAATTCCTGAACCTATATTGGGGTGAATTTATTAAATGCTCACTTTGGACAGTGTGGGGGGGGGGGTCACGCTTAAGTGATGTACGCACATAATAAACCTCAAGCTTGATCCCATTTCACTCCTTTAACATGAGTGTCCTGATGAGTACCATATTCATGATCTCTAATTTAACAGAATGTTACCCGTTCCTATTAATAGTTTTCCTACTTAATGCTCGTGCTTGGTAAAAACGGTGAAAATTAAATTTAACTTAGGGGACTTTGTGGAATGATTAGAAACATCAAAAGACCTCAGTCACAGGCGCATTTGTTATTTCAAACAGCTTGGGCTAAATGCGCTTCCAAAATTTTTCATCATCTTGATTTTAATTTAAACACCAAAGCTTAGATTTAATATCACTTAAAGGAAGCTTTTATAGAACTCATGTTTATCATTTGAAGTGCAAAGCATTTTATCCACCCATCCATTCTATAATTGCAATATTTTTGTCCATTTGAAAAACATTCAAACGCTAAATACCCTAGCGAGAGGCAATATCTTTTGAATGTTGATTTTGCTTTTAAAATGGCTGGGTGGACATAGTCCAAATCCTTTCATTCTTTCATCCTCTACCAGTGGTTAATTATGTTGTTGCTCAGATTTGTTTCACTCTGCATTAGATCATCCAAGATTGATTATGCCTTTTGGAAGGATGGTGCTTTGAAACCCGCTCTTAGGATGTATCGTCGATGGGTTATAGAACTTGCATGCACATGTAGCTACACACGCTCATCTTTTAATTTCCTTTTTATCCAACACGTAAAACACAGCTTTTCCAATTACCTATTCACGAGGAACCAGCTGAACTCCTTACTGTCTCAACGTCCCATTTCCTCCTTACTACTCGATGTAACTTTTAATTCCACGTAGCCTTATCATTGTATAGGGTTCAATTGTAAACTCGAGTCAACTTTGTTGTTTCAGAGGTAACTCGGTAGTATTTTATGCAGCTGTTGATTAAATTTAGTAAGTATACAAAAGGTCATTTTCTCGTATCTATATATGATGCAACTAAATTCAAAGTATTTCATATATTATGAGTTCATTTTCAGAAAGAACTGTTTCGGTAGGTAGGCATGCTTTAAGTCTCCTGTTTTCTGTTTTCCTTTCTATATAGTATGACCACCACTTCTTCAAGAAGGTTCCCCACGGCGCCGAGGCGGTGAACATTCTGGTTGGTGAGACGACATTTCTGCGTCACCCTGTGGCGGCATTTGTACGACTCCGAGAGGCTGCCCGTCTTGGAGAGATGACGGAAGTGCCATTGCCGACTCGATTCATGTTTATTCTTCTTGGCTCCCAGGGCAATGGGGCCAAGTATCAGGCCATCGGACGCGCACTTGGCACTCTCTTCTCTGATGAAGTGAGTTTGGGCTTCATATTTCTAATTTTTTAGTAGTAGTAGTAGTTTACAGCCAAATGCTAATGCACCTCGTGTGGAGATTCTTGAAAAGGAGGAGGCCTTGAGATAATGTCTCCATGTTTTTATCATGTGTCCTAACCGTAGCAGTAACTGCTTACGGAGGCTATGTGAAAACATTTAGGGATAGTTATGACGGGTCTAATTTATGGCTATGTGATTAAAGTTAAGTGAAGAAGAATGTATCACGTGAGATCGTTCGCATGAAAAGGGGAGCAGGAAAATACTTGAAAGTGCTCACTAATTCCTAGACGTCAATTTTCTATGCCTGTAAATACGCCATATACCATATTGTACTTATCAAAATGCCCCAGCGATCCTCTGTAGCAGTGTACACAGCCTGCATTGAGTGCAAGTGAAGACTTCGAGAGATCGGCACAACCGTGGGGTCTTTACTGCCTACAGGTGTAAACTCTTATGATCACTATTTAACTTACCCATAAAACCCAAAATGGACCTATTAATGAGACTCGGAATGTGGTAGTAGAGGAAGGTATTTGGGAACCACTTCTATGTGGCATTGCTTTGCAGAACAGGATTAAAGTTGGGGCATATTTGTGGGGTAAATGCTCAAAAGAAAGCTTTCATACAAGAATGTGTGGTGTCTAAATGAGGAATTCTGTAGGAATAGTATTGGATGATCGTGAGAGAAATCCAACATCGAGGTAGTAGTTTAGCTTTAGTGTTAACCTAAATGTGCATATTATGTGAAGCATATTTATTTGACTAGCCGAGTCAATCTTGCCCATATCGCCTTGTCTCATGTAAACATCGATGTGCCATCGAAAATGTCTCTTACAAATGGGGCAAGTTTATGCAAGGTCGCATCAAGTGTGACAAGGGGTCATTGTCCATTCCGATCGATAACTACAAACGGGTTTAATTAAATTTCGTTCGCTTGTTTAGTAGCAGTGTGGATTGTTGGAAGTCTTTTCCAATTCTTAATTTTGAAGGATTTAGTGTTATTTAGATTTAATGTGTAGATAGACCCTCTAATTATCTGAATTAATATATTTTTACTTTTCGTTATCTTTTTTAGGCATAATTTCCACAAATTCAGTCATTTGCCAAACCCACTAATTATTCCTTAATTAATCTTCAATGTCATCTGATAATAAGGATGTAATAACTATGGTTGCATTCATTGAAAATTTGAATTTATAATCACATTTTGCGTTCGGGATGCGTTGAGTCTAAGCTCCTAGTAAGAACTAACGAAATTAGCCGAAGTTAATACAATTTATTTGGGAAAGAACAGGAAAAATATCGCGATGTTCATTCGAAAGAGATTGCATAGGGTCTTAAACTCCTCTCTTCTTGTCCATTTAGACCGATGTAGTCATTTGTCCCTCCTAATGTGGCCCATTTTATATTCTCAGCTAAACGGCTTATTACTTTGAGTGTTACATTCAAACATAATAATACTAGTACCATATAAGTACCATAAGCTATATCTGAAAGAGTGGGTAGAAAGGGAATAAAAGTATTCTCTAGTTTGAGTTGAGTGGGATAAGGGGAGAATTTGCTAGCTTAACTGGTTAATTACCGATCTATCCCCTTCGATTTTCATTTTTATTTGCTTCTGTGTGGTAATTTAACGAATTGCCTCTGAAGATTGAGCAAATGCTTCGTTGCTCAACGCTCAAAAGCTCTATACTCAGTGACTTTTACAGAAATTCGAATCGAATTTACTCTTTCGGTGGAAATAAATTTAATTATAACAACCACCTGACCAAACAACAGATGCGGTATTCGTTAACAAAATTTTCAGTATTTTCTATCAGTCCCCACATCTTGATTAATAGCGGTAAATTTTCCATATGCATCCTATTTCCTTCGCCCTCACAACCAAACAAGCACACTTTTTTGGTGTCAACACACCGAGGAGAGACGGAGTCGTCAATGGTCCCTCCTCTCTCCTACAAATTACTTTCTTGTACCTCCTTGAATGCGCATTCGAGTGCAGAGAGCGTTTGATTAATAGGCCGATCCGGCAATAGTATCCGCAAATTTGCGTTGAGCCTTCTCATAACCTCCTCTTTCTCTGCTTGATTGAGTTGGCATTTGATGGATAATTAACGTTTCTATCTATTTTTGGTATAGGTAGTGATTGTGCTTGTAACTTCTAATGCTAGTAAAAAATTTTGAATAGCCTTTAGAACAATATATCATGAGCAAGTAAATTTAAGTTCAGTTGAGATAGGGAGATGGCGCAAGAAATCATTTTGCATTAAGTTAGATTATGAGAACAAGTGGAGATATTTCCTAATTCGCAAGTGAGCAATGAAATTTTTTAAATATTCGTGATTTTCGTTGTAACTAGTACTTATATAATAATTGTGTTATTATTACTCAATATCGAATAATGCGAAAGAATTAATTGTCACCATGCGAGTTAAATAGGTAGTTGTGAAGTTGTCATTTTTGACCCAATTGAGGTAGTGGAGTTTGGCAGGAGTGGAACTCGGAAATGCATTATCAATCCTACTCTGTCTTCGAAAAATGAGCAATATTTTCGAGACACTATGGAGCAAGTGTTGAATGTTTACTGAACTTTCATGAACACATACAGGGGGTTCTCCCAGCATCCCTCTGGTTTTTTCCGCCTAAATTGGCATTCGTTTGTCCTAAATCTGTGAGCACATTTGAAATAGAATCGAAAATGACTAGAAATATGTCATGGAACGCCACTTTATCTCGCAGTAATTACAGATTTGCCACAATACTGATTTGTCTCTCAGTAGTTACGACCTCTGAGTTTTTAACTGTGATAAATTAAATGCGTTGAAAATAGATCAAAACAGGCAAATAATGCGTTAGCGAGTTCGCTCAAAAGCGCTAGACTACGAAAGGCTTCATTTTGTTGAGTAGCATGCCAATTAGTGATAATCACTCAGCCCTCTTCTTTTCGTTTGCATGTGTTTTTATTTGCACATATTTTTTTTACTTTCTACCCCACAGATGTTCTTAGATTTTGCTACTCGCAGCACATCACGCAACGATCTCTTGGCTGGAATTGACGAATTCCTCAGTGCGTCTTCTCTCCTTCCGCCGGCCCAATGGGATCACAAATCGAGAATCGAGCCTCCACACGCTCCTCCATCTCAGGTACCACTTAATTACTCAAATTTCCAACTTTGTCAAGTGATGCTCTCAGCTTGTGTGTTTGTCTAGCACATGATGTCGACTCCTCATTTGCCTATTACAGTTTCTGCCACAGGTCCAATATTACCTATTTATTTCTTAGTTTAAGTACCACCAAATGTGATCATATTTGAAAGTAATCCCTAATTCTTGTCTGGAATTTCGTGTAATAACTTCAAGTCAAACTATCTATGGTCTATGTGTGAAATTCGTGTTTCTCGATGCTGTTAGTGAGGAGTTTCTGAATGGAAGTTATCTATCCACTATCTATGACTGGCAATAAAAAGCGAAAATACCAAAAAATATGTTTCGATTTTATGCTTGATTGGATTAGTCCATTTATTCAAAGAGGATGAAAATAAGCCAAATAATTTTCGTCGGGTTTAGAGTTGAATAAGTCACTGGAGTATACGTCAGAATATTTTTTAATTTTAAATGCTTCTGTTATGGTTAGGGGTCGTTAGTAGTAATGTGATTGAGACCTGTCTACTACCTCTTAGTTCACGTTTTCCAGTGCTCATATATTTGGAATAGATCTATGAATACTAATCGAATGGAGTCTCGATTGGTTATCCTTTTCGAATTAATAACCGGTGGCTGGCTGTTGATGGAGACAAATGAGAGTTCCGAAAAGGCATTTGTTTTTGTTGGACAGACAACTGTGAGAATTTGGGGGAGCAGGGGAGACATAAGAGAGAAGTGGTATGTTCGCACTTAAGGTTAAGCCAATCCCCATTATTATGCCACCTTGAGCAAATTGCACTTCCGTCTTTAATTGGTCATTAATGCGTGAAGTATATGTATGTTATTGCACTAATAAACTTTGTCTGTTTATTTAAAGCCAGTAAATTAATTACTTAAGTTCATTTAACAGGAGAATCGTAAGGCAGCTGCTGCCGCCGCCGCTTCTGCTGCCGCTGCTGCTGCATCAAATGTCAAGGCAGGAGCATCGTCCACCGACGAAGGCCCACGCAAACGTCACAGTCTTCTTCCCAAACTCTATCACCACTATCGCCATCATAAAGATCCCAAATCATCAATCAGTCCCACCAACCTCTCTGTCTCTATGGCATCTCAACGGAAGAGGGCGGCCTCTCTCGGATGTGGTGATGCTAGGGGAAAGGACAGTCCGCCATCCGCTTCGAAAGACATCGTTTCTGTGGAAGGCGGAGGGGCCCCCCCGGGGGGCTCTGGTGCTTCTGAAGAGTTCGACAGAAACAATGATCCTGCTTTGATGAGAACTGGAAGGTAGTTACAAGCTTTTGTAGACTACATCAAAAAGCCTGTAATGTGTACATTAATCACAGTGTACATTGACTTAGTTGACCGAATGGTAAAATCTGACTGTCAAATATCTAGGACACTGATTTTTATGTGTTATGTTACGTGTATCCAAAAGTCATATTTAAGCACGTGACAACATGCGAATAATGGGCTCGTTGCCTAATTCTGAAGTTATGATTACTTAGACTCCGGAAAGCAAAAGGTCAGTTCGTTAATTGAAGAATTAAATCAATGAACACCTAGACAACCATATTGAATATATATAAACAACGTTTAATAGGAGATTCCGGTGCTTATTAGAGGAAATAAATCAGAGAAAACACCATAGTAGTTTCAATGTAATGCTTAGTCGCGTTTTCTTTAAATCAGGTGGGTTCCATTCTTACATTTCCGTACGTTCTTTACTCTAGGTTATTCGGTGGTTTGATAAGGGATATAAAGAGGAAAGCGCCTTGGTACCTCTCAGACTTTACGGATGGAATGCACATCCAGTGCTTTGCTAGCTTCTTCTTTCTCTATTTCGCTTGTCTTACGCCCATCATCACTTTCGGTGGTCTTCTCTCTGGTGTTACTGGTGGCTACCTTGTACGTGCCAGTTTGAAATGTATATGCATATATATATTTGCCATCGGTAAATTAGGCGCATATTTGAATCATAAAAATTACATTACAACGTTTGTATCAGAGCGGCAAAGTGGACAGGAAGATGCAGCCGATAATGGCGTATCTTACTCTACAATAGCTACAAGGTACGTCTGAGCTCATTGATCTATTAAACGAGCTCCGACATGAGAGGAAAAATTGAGAATAAAGTCAGTACATTTTTTGTAAATCTGTCTGTGAAACATGGGTAAATGTAGGATGAGTAGGATCTGATGTCCACTGCGAGTCATTTACCTAAAACATCGTCAGGCAGATCAGACAAATGATTCAACCTGTGCTTTTTCGTTTTTCAAGGGCTCTGCTAACTTCTGACCTTTATTATTATTATTATTATATCAAATGGCAGGCGTGTTGATGGTTATCATTAGCCCTTTAGTTGACTTCAGGCTTCACAGAGGGAGAGGAAGGTACACCAAACTGAAAAAAAGTCGAGAGGGGGGGGGGGAACAGAAGAGTGTTTCAAAGAAGTAAGAGACAAACACAAAGATAGAAAAAAGGTGAGGTGAGTATTGTGGAAATAGTCGAATATGGCATACAGTGGGGTGATGGTGGTTTGAAGTGAGAAGTCAACTGGCAGTTAATAGACTTTTTTGCCGCATGAGTATACTTTGCCCAGGGTGCACCACTTGGAGGTAAGCCTATTGCACACCCCAACTTCTGACCTTATAAGCCCCTAACTTACTAGAAGTGCGCTTAAAACCGTGCTAAACTATGCAGAGTGAATTAATGAGAGGTATCGAATTAGAACCTCATTTTGGTCGTTGGTTTAAATCGGGACGTTATTTATTTGTCTGACCTTTATTTAAACTAAACTAAATTTCTTTTCCTTGAAAGGTTTAGATTTGCCTTGAACTAATTAATCAGTTTTCAATGCTTCTGTCATTCTGCTGTGTGTGTGTGTTAAAAGTTCAGCTTGTTGATGCCACAAGTGAAGACCGTTTTGTTGGCTCACAAGACCCACATCCGAAACTTCTCAGTTTTTTTTGTAAGTGGGTGGCGGACAGCTCCCATCTTCATTCCCGTAAAGTGGTCAGATGGTGCAATTTATGGTTGTCGAAATTCTTTCAGTTAAATTTTAACTTTCTTATCAAGGTCAAATTAATGCAAGTAAGGGAATATGCTTGGTGTAGAATAATTATATTTGGGAACCAGAAGATTCTCCTATAACGCTTCGCTTTGCAATTTGTTTTTTTTTGTTACTTTTCAAATCGAGGTGGAATATCTTTGGCGATATGTCGCTCTTTCTCGTGAGTGTATAAATATATTTCTTGCTCTGGAAATAAAACCACCAACCAAATATGAAATAATTTAAACGTTCTCTTGTAGAATAACGTATCAAAAGTTTTGATATAGACCACTCCATTTTATAGAAGTTATT